GCGGTCACTTCGCAGCCCATGTTTTGTGGATAAGAGGAGTTGCCGGGATCGTTAATCTGACGGAGATGGTTTTGGAACATCCGTTTCGATTCTTGACGTTACTTCGTACATCTGAGATGTTTGTGAAGCCTTTTGATTACTTCTTGCGAGTATGTGAGATACTCCGGCATTGTGAGGACAATGCCTACGTATAGTATTCGACCTCTGGGTATTTGATCTGGAAGTCTACTTTGTGACCTTTGTATTTGTGACTTATTGCTGATGTTTGGTTATTGCAGTGAGCGAACTACTTTAGCGCTATGACTGCTGATGACTGGATATTAGCTGAGAAGTCGAGCAGAACATTCTGCTCTCCACGGTGGTTTGGAGCTATGAGAAGACATCTCTGTGTGAAGAACTGTTTTGGAGATGGAGCATGAGGTTCCCATGTTGTTTATTGCAAGAGAATTTTGTCGAGCAGAACATTCTGCTCTCCACGGTGGTTTGGAGCTATGAGAAGACATCTCTGTGTGAAGAACTGTTTTGGAGATGGAACATGAGGTTCCCATGTTGTTCTGTATTGCAAGAGAATTTTGTAGAGGAATTTGAATGGATCATTTCGTTCTTGAATAGCCGTGTAACTAGTCTAGACGTTTGGTAGAGACTAGTAACTCCGGCTAGCTGGTTATTTGCGTTTGGACGAGAACCAGTTTGACTTGAGAACTTTTGGAAATGTTTCTGACGTTTTGTGACTAGGTGATTTGTATATCATAGCAGTTTGGAATTGTTTCAACAACCTTTGAGGGAAGGTTGTGTATTGGAAACCTGGAATCGAGTTTCCCAGTTGAGACATCGGCTCAAGGGAGTGGTGTCAAGTGTTCCGAAGCGAACTGAACTGCAGTGTCACCTAGGGCATTTGAAACAGTAGCCACGCTGGAACACCTTTTGGTTTGTGGCCGTGTGCCTGCCTTGGTTCCTGTTGACCTGTTCCGTTGTGTGTGGCGTCTCGAGAGAAAAGAAGGAGTCTGACGTGCACTTAGGAGTGAGGGTGGAACAAGTTCCTTTATTTTGACATTGCAGAGAAGTAAGTAACTGCGGGGCCGCAACCACAGTAGGTGTTTGCGCCTGGCGTAGTGGGATAACGAAAGCGTTGATTTGGGTACACGAGAGGTGTACTTGGGTTTACGTTTTTCACATGGTAGCGGAGCCCTGAAGAGGGCTACCCACACCATCTTCCGCTGACCCTTGTTTGTGACAAGATGCTAAGGACGTCATCTAAGGTGAGATTGGGATCTTGGATATTGGAGCTCCGTGATCTGGACGCAGAGGCAGAGATGAGCTCGTACTAAGGTGCACCTGTTTCACAGGAGGTGATGATCTGAAAGTACAAGGTCACTAGGGAGTGGGAAGTTGGTTGGAGTCTGTTTGGTTCAGGTGACTTTGAGACTCTGTTTTTTTGGTATAGATTTCTACGGATCATGAGGATCGTGGACCTATCGTTTTTTTGGACGACTATTCGTTTGCAAGTTGAGCAAGAATCGGCAGGGTGTGTGCTTGGTAGGCTGGACAGAAGTGGATCCATGTAAACTGTCGACAGTGGTACCTGTAGAAGAGCATACAAGATTAGTCAGCCCTGGGCAGGACACTTGTGACTTGGACGGAGGAGTTGAGTTTGTGTTGACAGTGGATTCTGCCAGAGCAAGTTTTTATTTCCACCTTGTGTAGGTGCGTAGTCTTTGGAAGGCGTCCATGTGGTGTTGGCAGTATTCTGGTAGGGGTCTGTGCCATGGCGTGACGTGTTGCTAGCGTAGGGTCACTATTGCAAGGCTACGCTGGAGTATCTGGAGAGGTATGCATGGGAGGGACGTTCCTGGACGTAGGAGATTCGTTTCGGCAGTATGAAGTGACAGTAGGTAATTTACTGCAAAATTGGAGATGAAACACACTAAGGTGAGGACGAGAAGAACTGGTTCGCATAATCCGGTGGGACAACTGATTGCCAGGTTTGACAACCAAGGACACTGAGGTATTGGATCAAAGTGCAAAGGTTGGGAACTGATGGTGTTAGGTACATGGTTCTTGCAAACAATTAAGGCATGTCTTAGATCTTGAACTCAGTTGGTCCATGGAGGAGGAGTGACAGGAAAAGGTGTATCAAGTGACTGGAATGAGTATGTAAAGGGCACTTTCTGAGTTGTCGTTTCAGTGTTACTCAATCTGAAGGTAGATTTGAAATTTTGGAGCCCAATACGCATGAAACTTTATGTTTTGGAGTGCACTGTAGATGATGGAAAGTGGGGATCATGCCTGTCGCTGATGGTGCCAAGTGTTGCTCAAGCGGTTCAAAGGTAGAATCAGATTGCCATGTCCACTCGGGAAGACCAGAAAGAACTTTCGAACGAGGAGCCAACCTCAAGTGGAGCTGGAATCTCTCACTCCAAGGAATTTCAATACAAGAAGGCTACAAAGTTGGATCGTCCAAAGAGTAAGATGGCTGCTGCAAAGGTGAAGGATAAGTCCTGTAAGAGTCAACCTTTCTCCACCAGGAAACGTCGGGCACCTCTCGTTGATGCTGCCACAGCGCCTACTCCTATAGATGTGGAAGAAGATGTGGCATGTATCAGGAGAGAACTACCTCCGGTAGATGCAGCGAAATCTCCAAGTGAGTGTGGAGAAGCAGTACCGAATTCTGGTGATGATGTGCGTAGCGTCTCAGACAGTGAGCTGATGGACGTAGTCGACACCCCAGAGGCTACTTTGGAAGAAGAACTACTCAAAGCAGTTGGATTGAGTGTTACTGCTGAGCCCTAGCTTGTTTGTTTGTGAGGAGACATCAGTAGAAACAGTCTTAGTACCCTGTGGTTGGTTGCCTGGACAGAAATGAACAAATGAGTTTTGTTTTGCTGCGAGAGTGAAACGTTGATCATATGTGACCTAGAGGTGTAGAAGGTCGTTGGCTGAGAAAGATAAAGCTGAGAGCGACAGAGAAATCCGTTAGGTCAGTCTTGTGATGTTTTCACCCGCGAGCTGCTTGAGAGTTTTTGAGGGTATGAGTTTTGGACAGAACACCTGCTCGTGTTTCCGCAGCTGTTTTCTAACTGTTTCGTGTCAAGAGCATTGAGACTGTTGCAGTGTGTGTATTTCAGAACATGGAGTCACTTAAGCTCTGGATCGCTTTAGCGCCCAAGCAGTTGGAAGAGTTGAACAAGGGCAATGAGGTTTTTCCAGATGGATACTCCGGTCGCTTTGGTCTGCGTTTGGGACCTGCGGAAGCTGTGGATCGTGCCCAATACTTTATGGATTGGACGCCTGATGGATTGAAAGGTGAGTACCATCAGAAAGACTATGCAGTGATGGAGATGGAAATCTCAGCGCTTGGCTACCTTCAAAAGGTTGAGGGCGGAATCTTGGAGAAGACAAAGCCCACCGAGTATCGCTGGCATGGGCCTGTGAAGCATGAAGAACGGGATAGCCAAGGACGCATGTTATACCGTATTAGTGAGATGGCCGCCAAGTTCATTTAACTGGTCAGGGTCCAGGTACAGAAGTTGGGCAGACCATGGAGTATTAGGTATAATTTTTTATTTGAAACTCCAGTTTGAAATGCAGAGGAGAAAGAAGAAAGGGTATCTTCAGCAGCCTGTGGGTCTGCGTTGCTCATGTGACGGATGGGCAGTTTGCTTTGCTGTAGTGAAACTGTGAGTTTAGACGTGTGGAGTTGTCGTGTTGAGTTGGAAGTTGACTGTAGACTTGTAGGTCGTTGGTTTGGAAGAACTGTAAGCGGCAGAGTTCACAGTCAAGAGATCAGCATGGACTGAGATTTGCAGTGAGTGTTAATCCACATGAAGAAGCAATTGAGTTGCATGTTTGCATCGATGCCACGAAGCCATTTTTCTTTGCTGAGTCCAGGAGTGTAATCTCGGTTTGAACTCAATGGAGGATAGCATTCGTCTTTGGATAGCTCTCGTCCCACCACAGATGGAAGAGCTGCGGACGCATCATAGAGTCCAACCAGATCTCCACAACACCAGTGAATATCCGTGGCACGCCCGATTGGCGCATGGGTCGCACTCAAATCGATCCTGGAGGTATGGATATCTGGTTGGAGAAAGGTTCGACCTGGTGAGTTCCGTTGGTACGGATTTCTTCTTCCAGAAGAATATGATGAGCAGGGAAGATTGCTCTATCAGGTCATCGATCCCATGGTTGCTAATGAGCCGGTTCGTGAGCGTCCTGCTAGGAACTGTAGAGTGGGCGAGTGGTAGATTATTGTGCTCTAAGTTTTTGGTTGAGCCTTGCAAGCCGTGGCAAAACGGTGGAAAGCTCGCTTTGGGTGCTTGTGATCGATGACGAGAATGGTTCAATAGTCGATGCGAACATGTTGCAAAATGAGAAGATGCAATCATGTGGAATTTCAATCTAAACGAAACGAAACAAACGAAACATGAGACACAAACAAGTTTGGGTGTTTGCAATGCTCCTTGCTCTTGCAGTTGAGATTTGCAGTCAGTGTGTCATTTGACGAGTGCAGTTTTTGTGAAGATGACTTGTCGAAGGGTTCTTGCAAAACCACGGAGACCTGTTCTTTTCCAGAATATCTGCATGCATGTCAATGAGTGACAGTGAGTCTGCACTGCATATAGCAGGGAACGCACAGTGAACTCATTAGAACTCGTGATGGTCCTCGATGGTTTGGGGACGAGTACAGATTTTTATTGCATGTTGAAACATGTGTATCAATGGTTCGCAAAATTCCAATATGTTGGAGACATCTGGAATTTTGGGAAACATCTTAGTCAGTTAGTTGTATTGTTGAGCATACACATCATGTTGGTTGGTTTGTTTGTTTGTTCTGATGTTTGAGACATTGAGATTGTAGGGCATGAGGCTCTATTGCCAGCAGGGATATTCAAGTAGAGTAGCACAGGCTCTTAGAACTCGTTTGGAGCGTACGTTGAGAATGGCTGCTGAAGAAGGTCACGGTCATGACGGCAGCAGCCGAATCCGTTCTCGTTCCAGAGGACGTGGCGCTGAGGCTGATGCTGCCAACTTGGGTCCTGAGACTTCCACAGTGTTGGATGGCACTGGTGCCGGCATGGGAGATGTTGCTGGTCCTCCGGCAGGTGCTGAAGTGGGTGATGGAACCGTACCTTTGGCAGATGGATCTGTGCCACCAGGAGGAACAATGCCAGAAGGAACTCCAGGAGACGTGAATGCTCCGTTTCCACCGGTTCCTCCAGTGATCACCCCACATGGTGATGTGAACGCTGCTGAAGTCTTGGCTGTGAGTACGGAATTGGCTCGGAAGATCTTAGAGTGTTCCAACAGGCTTGCAAATGTAACTGAAGAGCTTGCCATCACCATGGAGCATTTCACCCAAGGAAAAATGGAAATAAAGAAAGGATTTGAAGAATTGAGTGTCCAGATCCAGAATCAAGCGACCTGCATAACAACGATGACATCAGGAGTGTCGTTCCAGGCTGGAGAAACGACCAAGCTTCTCAAAGCTTTCGACCGGTGGGCTGCCACTGGTCGTTGGGCTCTAGCTGGCAACCAGTCAGTGGAAGCCAACATAAAGGGAGTCCAAAGTGAAGTAGAGAAGCAAACAAAGATGTTGGAGACCAACCTCAGTCATGGATTTGATAGCATTGGAAGGTATCTTCGAGAGATGGTGAGACTCCTATGAGGAGCGAGCTCAGAATGCTGCAGTTCCAGCTGCGGTGGGAGGAACTGGAACTCCTATCACACCTGGAGGGATCAGTACATCTGGAATCACCATACCGCCCATGGCTGGAAGTCTGAGAGGATCAACAACCCCCGGGCATGCCGTGGGAGATGCAGGAACTCCTCTCACACCAGGAACGGTCAGTGCCCCTGGAACTACTGGGCCTGCTGGGACTGCAAATCCGGGAGGATTAACATCACCCGGACCTGCCCCTGCCCCAGCAGTTCCACCACTTCCGGCAGAGCCAGTGTCAATCTTTATGGCGTTCTGTCCGGAACAGCCGAACGGGCCGAGACCAAATACTCCCCTTCCGATCCCAACACCGTGCCAGCGTGTGGGCATCGTTACCAGAGATGCGGGAACGGGTGTACAGAGGACATTGTCACCGACGGCATACCGTCCTGAACAAACCAGCGGAATCACCAGTATCTGGGCTCCCCAGGGATTGGGGATGATTCGTGATGGGAACTCTCAGTTCAGGAGGATTTACTGAGAATGTGAAGATTCGGGACATCGACTACTGAGAGTTGAGGGAAGCCCGTCCGCTTCTTTTGGGTGGAACCCATGATGTATATTCTTTTCTGAATTTCTTGCAACCTGTGCGGTAGAGAGAATAGTTGGTAATTGGTATTCCAACCTTTGGCCAGCTCGAGGTTCACTCTATTCAGCATGTATTCGTTGCCGTCACTTCAGATCTCTGTGCTCAGCAGAAAAGGAGAGAGGGAAAGCGGATCTTGAAAGGGGGCGAGAGGTTGCATTAGTGCCACCTAGAAGAAGTTCGCATCATGGAGTTGAGTTGGATCCTGGAAGGATCAACTCTTGGTAGTGAAAGTGGGTGTGCAGTACATGCATGAGACATAAGTTGCACATGAGCATGTTTGTGGATTCGTTGTGAGTTTGTGTTTTGTGATTGTTGTTTTTTGTTGTTGATGGTGGTTTGTATTTGTCAGCCGCCATTTTCCAGATGATGACATGGCCAGATCCGATTCTCGAATGAAAGAAGAATCAAAGAGGATCCAGGCTAAATGTCTGATGGAAATACATGTAAAATCGTTTGTTTGGTCAAAGTGTTTTAGTTTTTTTGCCCATGGATGTCAGTGGATTGGACATCCCTGACTTAAGGTACATGTCAATATTGTTGGAATTGTACTCTTGACGTTTCTAAAAATGGTTGTAAGTTTGTTTTGGTAGTTTTTCACTATGCGATAGATCAGCTTTTATGCTGACCAGAATTCATTTCTCTAGTGATGTTTGAGGATTGATGGATTTTACCTCAAAAGGGGGCAAGGTCTATCTTTGGAAATATGTCCTGAGCTTAGCGCGCCTAATACTTAGCTTGTCCGAAGCTGAGTCTGCGTGGTGCAACAATGTCTTGAACTTAATTTTATTTCCACGAATGTGGATTTTATCTGAATATTTTTAGACTGATGACAGTTTCGCTTGTCTGACACGCCTATCTTCCATTGGAAGACGTGGATTAGCTGAAACAGTCGGCCTTTGTTTTTGTGTTGACTCCGACAGGGCTTCGTCTGTCTTCGTCTTGGATCTCGTGTGTGTTGTTGGTGTTTTTTCGTTTGTTCTAGGGAACAACAAACAGCACTGTAGTTGATCGTGAATTGACGCCATGGTTTCTTCGATTAGTTGATGATCTGGTATTGGAAGAAAGAAATCGTTCCGAAGAGACACCTTGGGACGGTTGATGGATTCTGAGCTGGTGATGTTGACTGGTTGAGGATAGATGGGAGCTGTGCCCATGGAGACGTCTATGGAGTATTGCTGAAATCAGCGTTGGCGGTGGTTATGGATATGAATAGACTGTTTATTTATGATGAACGAAGCGTTGGAGGGGCAACCGTTTTGTTTGAGAATCATCCAGAGTTGGAGCGATTCTATTCTACTTTCAATCTTGAACGACTTCAAGCTGGAAGATATTTTTGAGAATCAGTTGATTTCTCAGAGACAGTTATATTTTTTTGGAAACTTCGTGTATTTCAGAAGAGTTTAGACTTCATTTACGCTGGTGGATGAAGAACATCTACAAGCACTTCAACAAAGTCTTCAACATTATTTCGAAGATGTGCTGAACTGATGGAATATCGAAGTCTATTGGCGAATACAACGTCTTCTACACCTATGACATTGAAGGTATGTCGAAGTTCATACTGGATGTGAATTTTAGTATGTATGTAAAGAGAGAGATGAATGTCATGTCGAAAAGGGGTGTGGAAGTTTGTCACCCTTATGGGGTTGCAACTTGGCATTGGTGCGACAAGAATTCATTGAGTCTTCAGTAGTGAAACTGGACTATGGGAAGGTGTCTACAACAGACTTAAGTAGTTTCGATATTCCTTTGTGGTACACGGAACTGCAAGAGATGATTTGAGATATCGACCTGTGGGTCTGAGTGAATCTACACGGAGCTCAAGCTACTTTGAATACAGTTTGAAGCTTTATTTAGCTTTGTGACAGTGGGCGAATGCTTTCAGAAGCATTCGCTATACAGTTGAGTCGGGATGATATGATTTCATCGATCTCGGAGGTTCCTTGACTCCTTATGGGAGTGTGAATCTGACGGAGATGGTTTTGGAACATCCGTTTCGATTCTTGACGTTGCTTCGTACATCTGAGATGTTTGTGAAGCCTTTTGATTACTTCTTGCGAGTATGTGAGATACTCCGGCATTGTGAGGACAATGCCTACGTATAGTATTCGACCTCTGGGTATTTGATCTGGAAGTCTACTTTGTGACCTTTGTATTTGTGACTTATTGCTGATGTTTGGTTATTGCAGTGAGCGAACTACTTTAGCGCTATGACTGCTGATGACTGGATATTAGCTATGACTGCTGGAGACATGAAGACACTGTGTGGAATGATTGAGTTCTGTATTGCAAGAGAATTTTGTCGAGCAGAACATTCTGCTCTCCACGGTGGTTTGGAGCTATGAGAAGACATCTCTGTGTGAAGAACTGTTTTGGAGATGGAACATGAGGTTCCCATGTTGTTCTGTATTGCAAGAGAATTTTGTAGAGGAATTTGAATGGATCATTTCGTTCTTGAATAGCCGTGTAACTAGTCTAGACGTTTGGTAGAGACTAGTAACACCGGCTAGCTGGTTATTTGCGTTTGGACGAGAACCAGTTTGACTTGAGAACTTTTGGAGATGTTTCTGACGCTTTGTGACTAGGTGGTTTGTATATCATAGTAGTTTGGAATTGTTTCAACAACCTTTGAGGGAAGGTTGTGTATTGGAAACCTGGAATCGAGTTTCCCAGTTGAGACATCGGCTCAAGGGAGTGGTGTCAAGTGCAATAGTCCAGATTGTGTTGCCCATTGTTCATTTGTACTACGCTATGTCGCTATGTCTGTTTGCCTGGATTTCCTGAACGATTTGAACCATTGTCTCAACAAGATCATTATATAGTTAATTATCTTCATTGAATCTTTACCTGTTTTTTCAACCCTTCAATGTTGGCCATGGAGTTCCTATGTTAAACGGGGTCGGTCTTTGAAATGGGCAAGTATCTGCTAAAACATAGGGCTGGACAAATTCAAGCAGCTAAACATATGCCAAAACATTAGCATTGAGGAATTCATGCAAGCAAAAGGAGCTAGGCGCCAAAATTCTGGCACCTAGACTTTAGGCACCCCATGAACCAAGCCTACAGGGGATATGGATATAAGCAGGTGTCAAGTGTTCCGAAGCGAACTGAACTGCAGTGTCACCTAGGGCATTTGAAACAGTAGCCACACTGGAACACCTTTTGGTTTGTGGCCGTGTGCCTGCCTTGGTTCCTGTTGACCTGTTCCGTTGTGTGTGGCGTCTGGAGAGAAAAGAAGGAGTCTGACGTGCACTTAGGAGTCAGGGTGGAACAAGTTCCTTTATTTTGACATTGCAGAGAAGTAAGTAACTGCGGGGCCGCAACCACAGTAGGTGTTTGCGTCTGGCGTAGTGGGATAACGAAAGCGTTGATTTGGGTACACGAGAGGTGTACTTGGGTTTACGTTTTTCACAATCGTGGACACAGCCACAAACTTCTCTAACCAACCCTTGAAACCAGCCAACTCTCTTGCCCTGTTGTTCCAAGACTTCCAGTCAGGCAGTGGTGCTGCTGGAATCTTTGTGTCCATTGTCAACCTCTCAGACGGCCAGTAGAGTTCTGCGCTACTGTTAGTGTCTGCTGCACTGGTTGTTGAGGAAGTCCAGGTTCTGTCCTATAGAGAAGATCCATCACCCCTTGGGTGAGCAACATCTGTTGGCGCAGCATCTGTGCAATCACCGGGTCTACTGCTGTGACAGTGGGGACGCACTGTGCTGGTCCTCCATGGCCAGTGAAACCAGAATCCAAAAATCTTGGCGGCATTCGAAAGGTGGCAGTAGAGGTGCCACTCTGTCCACTGTTTCCAGTCTGCCAGGTTCCTGTCTCACCACTGGATTGGCTTCCTGGCAAAACAGCAGGACTAGTGCCTGGTGAAAAACTGAGCCAAGGTGTCGTTCCTGCGGATGAATCTCCACTTCCTTGAGGGGATCTGCTATGTTGTACACAGGTGTTGTTCCTGTGTTACAAGCACCGCCATTTCCTGAGACCATTCCTGTAGGCTGGAATCTTGAACTTGCGTTTTGAGGAGTAAAAAAGGGTCCAGATTGTGGCCGCTGTCAAGAGGCGCACTGCCTTGGTGAGCAAAGCTCAAAAGTCTGCAAATTCTGCTGGCAGAAATTTTCGCCATAAGGGACGGCCCACAGACTTTCATTTAAAAGAAGGCCCATCACCAGGCAAGGGTAATGCGGAAGGCGGTATTGCTTATAGCTCTCAGTTGTGAGCTTGATGATTTCTCTGCAGTGGTCTACACCAAGGAGAACGTCGCGGCGAAAGCCCTTGCCGACCAAATCAGTGACCTCAGCCCCCCAACGCTGACGCAACTTGGACGACTCCTCGGTCGTATTGAAGAAGGCAAAGGCGAGGCCTATGCAACTAAGATCGATGTTCGATAACGCCAGGGCTTCTGAGAGCGGCTTATCTAGTACGATGGCAATGAGCATTTCTCCTCCATCTTTCTTGATGAGAGCCGTTTTGCCACAGCTTTTTTCGCATACGTTCCGGCAGTCCGAATCGTTGGGGTGCAGTGCAGAGTGCCTTGAGGAAGCGGCTGTCAGCCATCTGTGGCGCCGGCAAGGAGTTACAGCTGAGGCTACACGGCGTAGGTCGCTGTCCCGGATTTCGTTTGACGTGACGTATTTTATGTAATGTCTGCTTCCGCATTGATCCACATTTGACAAGGTGAGGCCTGCTTTACCATTTGTTCCAGACTGCTTTGTGCGCCCACTAGGGTGCTTTGCGGTTGATTTCGGCCAAATCCCGTTTCATATCGTATTCGCTAAGAAGATCATCTAGCTCCTGCAGTGCAGTGTCGCGGTGGATGCATCGTTGTCTGACAGCTCCATCTATGTGTAGGGGCCATCCAACTGGCATATGTGACTCTTCGAGGAGCCCATCACCATTTTGTTCAATAGTACCCAGCATCGTCTTCAGGCTGACTCGCGGTCGGTTGCATTCTCAATCAGCAGATTTGTTTCAACTATAATTTTTTGCTTTGCTGCAATTTCCAAAACCTTGAGGCCTCCAGGGCTTGCCTTGAAGCCGTCCCATTGCGCCAGCTGCGGCCCAAAATTCAGCGAGGCAGCACAGTTACCAACTACTTCAAGTTCAGCCTTCCTGGGACTTAGGCGGCTTAAGAGACTTAATGCGACTTAAGGCGACTGATGGGACCCAAAGAAACTCAAGCGACTTGAGACAACTCAATGATTTCTTTTGCCTGTCGTGGTGGGTGTGGTGGTTGTTGTTGTTGTTGCTGTTGTTGCCGTTGTTGCTGTTGTTGCTGTTGTTGGTTGTTGTTGGTTGTTGTTGGGTTGTTGTTGGGTTGTTTTTGGTTGTTGTTGGTTGTTGTTGGTTGTTGTTGGTTGTTGTTGGTTGTTGTTGGTTGTTGTTGGTTGTTGTTGGTTGTTGTTGGTTGTTGTTGGTTGTTGTTGGTTGTTGGTTGTTGTTGGTTGTTGTTGGTTGTTGTTGGTTGTTGTTGGTTGTTGTTGGTTGTTGTTGGTTGTTGTTGGTTGTTGTTGGTTTGTTGGTTGTTGTTGTTGTTGTTGTTGTTGTTGGTTGTTGTTGGTGGTTGTTGTGGTTGTTGTGGTTGTTGTGGTTGTTGTTGTTGTTGTTGTTGTTGTTGCGGTTGTTGTTGTTGTTGTTGTTGTTGTTGTTGTTGTGGTTGTTGTTGGTTGTTGTTGGTTGTTGTGGTTGTTGTGGTTGTTGTGGTTGTTGTGGTTGTGGTGGTTGTTGTGGTTGTTGTGGTTGTTGTGGTTGTTGTGGTTGTGGTGGTTGTTGTGGTTGTGGTTGTGGGTTGTGGTTGTTGTGGTTGTTGTGGTTGTTGTGGTTGTTGTGGTTGTTGTGGTTGTTGTGGTTGTGGTTGTGGTTGTGGTTGTGTTTGTGGTTGTGTTGGTTGTTGTGGTTGTGGTGGTGGTTGTGGTTGTTGTGGTTGTTGTGGTTGTTGT